CAATGTGGTGCCAGGTTAGCAGAGTGACAACTCTCAATTTCAAGCAGCCATTTTGCATCTCGAGGAAAGAAAGTAGGTAGCCTATCAGGATTGCCTTTTCTGTTTCAGTTCCTTGGTTGGTAGTTATCCATGGTAGCTTGTGCTTCACTGTCTGTCTTGCCCTGGGTGTGTACATAGGAGTCTTTCTCCAATTGAGTAACAATTGTGGGATCCTGATTCCAGACAGTAAGTCTGGCTTCTGTTTCTTTCTCACAAGATGTCAGTTCTTCTTCAGGTGGATTGAAAATTCCAGTTGCTTCTGCCTGCTTCTGGACTCCAAAGCCTTCTGGACCCAGTTTCTCACCTGCTTATCACATTGCATTTTTATTTACTTATTATTTATTTGTTTATAATGTTTGTGATCCCCAGAGCTGTTTGATTCCTTTCTGAGGATGGCTTTATGGTTTCAGGCATTTTAAATATATTTAGGCTTTCACTGGTCTTCCCTTTCAATAGGGAAAGTCTTTGGAGTATCAATTTGCAATACTGTTTTCACTTGGAGTTCTCAATTCTGTCTGAACTGACTTTTCTAGTTGCCATTTCCAAAATATCTGCTTAACGTAAAAGCTCAAGTGACCCTGTTTATCTAAATACATCAGAAGTCTGCATCTTTTGAGTTTAGGCTAAGAAATTGAACCTCTTCCACTAGAACCTTCTGCTTATAAGCTAATGCTGTTCTGCAAGACAAGTCCTGAATAAATTATGCATTTCTTCGGTTTTAGTTGTTTCATGGGTCTAAATCTATGAAATAATGTATTGAGTATGACATGGCATCTTAAATTTTTCATATAAGCATGAATTTGTATGAATTTCTCACATACATTTATATATATGTGAGCACATGTGCTTCACCATGGACTATTTATTCTCCCTTATTATCTCTCCGGGTCTGCGTTCACGGAGCACACACTCAAAGGCCCTCTCCTAGTTTGTGAATCACTCTTCCATCCTTACCTGCTTCTGTGAGGGAGCAGGAACTTAGGTGACAATCAAAATACTGACTTCAATAGCTAAAAAGTCCTTCAGGATTACATAAATACACGCGCGCGCGTGCGCGCGCGCGCGCACACACACACACACACCTTGATGTTGACTTATTCTCAATCTGCAGAAACTCAGAGCAAACTCAAACATCCTTATTTTTTTCTGATTCCATTTTGAATCACTTAGCATGGTGATGTTTGTGGGCATTTGAGTGTCTGTTACATTTGCTTGGAAGGACTAAAACCATTTTTTAAAAATGGAAGTTACGTAGAAAAAAATCTTCATAAGTGAGGTAATCCAGACCAAGAAAGACAAACATGGTGTGCACTCACTCATACGTGCAAATTAGATGTAAAGCAAAGGATAACCAGGTTACAATCCTCAGCCCCAGAGAAGCTGGGTGGCAGGGAGGACCCTAAGAGGGACGAATGGATCGCCCTGGGAAGAGGAGGTGGGTGGGGTGTGCTGGGTAAACTGGGGACTGGGTGGTGGTCGGGAGTAGAGGGGAAGAGATGAGGAGTGGAAACATGAGGGGTCAGGAAGTTTGAGTTGTGGGTGGGACAGGGGGTGATGAGGGGGCCATTGTGGGGTTGGCGAGAGACCTGGAACCAGGGAGGTTCCTGGGAGCCCACAAGGATGACCCCAACTGGGACTCCTGGCAGTGTTGAGGAGACTGGCCTTTCCTCGATCAGAGTGAAGACTGGTTGTCATTGTGGAGCCTTCATCCAGTACTAGATGGAGGCAAATGCAGAGGTCCATGGTCGGGAACCGGGAGGCCAGTTGAAGAGAGAGTGGAGGGATTGTATGGGGGGGAGGGTGTCAGAATCGTGATGGAGAAGCCTATAGATACAGCTGACATGAGCTTGTGGGAGCTCGGAGACTCTGGATGGACAGCTGGGGAGCCAGCTTGGGACCGACCTAGGCCCTCTGCATCTGGGTGAAGATTGTTTTGCTTAGTCTTTTGTGGGACCTCCAGGAGTGGGACCAGAACCTGTTCCTGATGCGTGAGCTGGCTCTTTGGAAACTATTCCCTATAGTTGGAAACCTTCAGCCTGATGCCTGATGCAGGAAGGAGCTTGGTCCTGCCTCAGCTTGATGAGCTGATCTTTGTTGATTCCCATGGGAGGCCTTACCCCATCAAAATGGAGGTAGAGGGGGAATGGATGGGAGTGGGGGTGGGGGAGAAGTGGAGGGAGGGAGCGGGATGAGAGAAGGGAGGGGAAACTGTGGTTGTCATGTAAAATACATTAAAACTTGATGAAAAATGGAAGTTTTGGATTTGCTTTAAGAAGTTTCCAGATGAAGCATTTGCATATTAAAGTTACTTTTTAGCATTTACTATCAATGAAGAGTTGCCCTCCTGCTGTATTTTGGAATAAGGAGATGGTCTTCTTTCATGAAACATGAGCATTAGAGTATCTGTTTGACAAGATACTGTTGTGTATTCTTTAGAGCAGTGGAAGAATTAAACACAGAGACTAGTGCCACTGTTCTACCGGTATTCTGCTAGGACGGGAGTATGATCTGAGAGCTGAGCTTGACCTTGAAGTTCTGATCCTCCTGCCTCCATCTCCTAATTACTGGGATGATGGGCATGGGCAATGCTGTTGGCCCTGTTTATGTGGTACTGGAGTGTTGAAGCCAGGCCTTCATGCATGCCAGACTCTCATTCCACACACACTTTTCTATCTCCAGCATCCAAAAAAGGAACTTCTTTTAGACAGAATGACCATTGAGAGAGGAGAAAGTTAAAAGTAAAAACTCTGAATTTTTCCTGAAAAACTATAGCTTTAATATGTATAAAAATTTAAAGAATTACTTTTAATTATTTGTGTGTGTGTGTGTGTGTGTGTGTGTGTGTGTGTGTGTGTGTGTGTGTCCATGTCTGTGTCTGTGTGAGTTTATGACTGTACCAGCCAGAACAGGACATCAGATCTTCTGGAGCTAGAGTTACAGGAATGTGTGAGTCACCCGACATGGGTGCTAGGATAAAGCATCGCATGCTCTTAACAGCTCTAGTCATCAAATATTGTAGTTTTTAATTATGAATAATCAGTCAGAAAACTCACCAACTAATAAATTGGTTTTGTTCAATTGTACCCAAAGGTATTATTACTTTTCTGATTACTGAGAAAGTTTGATAATATTTGAACACAAGGATCCTCTTCTCAAATTTTGTCAGGGACCCAGTGTTCCTGAAAACTGCTGAAGTTGGCCACAGGGATCACAGTTTGTAGCCTGGCAGAGAACATGTGGTCTCTATGAATGCCATTTTGAGGTTGTTGAAAACTGGTGAGACTTGACTGTGCTTTTATTGGTATCCTTCATTGGTGACAACTGCCATGGTACAAATTATTAAGAACATTGTGTTTGCATTTTTCTCCTTGTAAATGTGCCCTGTGAGCATGCACTGTGGATTTATATAAGGTGTTAGCAGGGCAGAAGAGATTGTTCTTCCTAATCCAATAACAACCCAGTGAGGAAAATGAGTTACCAGTGAATTTCCGGAAAACTGTAGCACATTTTTGGACATCTTTACCTCTGTTTGAGTCACTTTGATTTGAAACTTACTTAACCTTCATTCATCTTCAGGATGGGGATATAGGACTGAGTCAAGGAAGGTTACTGATTTTTGTAAGCAACTTAAGTAGCTGATGTTCATAGATAAATTTCTCTTTAAGTTCTGGACTATTGGATTAGTCTTTTGATTTGGGGACTAATGTAACAAATAGGAAAGGGTCACTAGGTCAAGAAGCCAAGAGACAGAAATCAAACTCTCTGTATAGCTGTGAGAAGGTGCTAAGCACTACATAAAAAATATTTGTCAGTCACTGGCTCTGTCAGTGACAACCTCAAGACCCTTGAGCACCAATAACTAAAAGTTACTGGTTAACTCAGAAAATTCAATTAAAACAGAAGGATACTTGTGTCTTGACACTGGGGGACTGATGACATCAGTCATGGCTCTGAGTCATTTCCCTAGTGGCCTTTCTGGATACCAAAGGCAGGCATTCTGGGTTGTCAAGCACAGGGCCTTCCCATGTTTTTGTTTTTTTTTTTCCTAAACAATCTTATTTTATGTACCAACCTACCAATCTCAGTTCCCTCTCCCTCCCACCATCTTCCCATGCCACCCCCATATCCACTCCTCAGAGAGGGTGAGGCCTCCCATGGAGAATCAGCAAAGTCTGTCATCTGACACATCATTTGAGGCAGGACCAAGCCTCCCTCCCCTTTGCTAGGCTGAGCAAGGTATCCCTCCATAGAGAATGGGCTCCAAAAAGCCAGTTCATGCACTAGGAATAAATACTGGTTCCACTGCCAGAGGCCCCATAGACTGCCCTGGCCTCCCAACTGACACCCACATTTATGGGGCCTGGTTCAGTCCTATGCTAGTTCCCCAGCTGTCAGACTGTGGTTTGTGCCCTCCCATTTGTTCAGGTCAGCTGTTTCTGTGGTTTTCCCCAGCATGGTATTGACCCCTTTGCTCATCACTTCTCCCTCTCTACAACTGGATCCAGAAGCACAGCCCAGAGCTTAGCTGTGGATCTCTGCTTCTGCTTCCATCAGCTACTGGATGAAGGCTGTATGATGACATTTAATGTAGTCATGAATCTCATTATAGGGGAAAGACATTTAAGGTACTCTCTCCACTATTGCTTAGAGATTCTTAGTTGGGGTTATCCTTGTGGATTCCTGGGAATTTCTAGAAAGAGATACCTTGATAGAGGGAGTCATTATGAGGTTAATGAGAAAACTGGCACTACTGAAATTTCCATGTGTTTCCTTAAACTCTTCCTTCCTTCCAGAAGGAAACAGTTCACCATCTCCCCGTCCTTCTCAGCTCTACCTCACAGTTGTTAAATAAGCATATGTCAACTGTTTAAAATATTTCTACATATGCTTTTGAAAAGGTTAGCATGTGATTATAAGGAAGACCATTAATTTCTAATGAATTACATGAACTTCTCTTTCAGAAATTGATGAGAAGAGGGTGAACAACACTCAAGAAGAAGTAAGTTTTCCTACATTTTGTATAAATGTGTTAAAACACAATTAACTGTGATAACATCATTGTGGTTTTGTTTTGTTTTTCTTGTCTCCTTATTGTGAGGATCAAACCCAGGCTCTCACACAGGTATACTCTCCACTGAGCTACATGCCCAGGTCAGTGTATTCTTTGGAACAGAGTTCTTTGGTGCCAATCTACATTAATGTTAACTGTGTGGGTGGTAATAGACAAGTAATAAAAACAAATGACATAAATAAATGTCACTGTGACAGAGAAAGTATTCAGGTTGTTTTTCCTGAATGGGAAGGAAAATAGTAGGATGCAAATCTCTGCCTCAGTTACCTTGCTTCTTGATGAAATGCTAAACCCACGCAAATTTCTAAATGAACACTTGGATTTTAGTTGTAAGATATGCAACTGATAGTTTTGATTTCCCTATTGATTATATATAAACACAAAAAGCAGGGCTAGGCAACATTGAAATTCAATAGTAAGGTGATGGAGTCAGTGTCAGGTACATCTTAGGTCTTCAGCTGTTTAGAGCAAAAGTCAGCCCTGTAGTCCAAGTGTCAGAAGACTGAGTTTCTCTAGACTATAGAGCCTTGGTAACCAAAACTAATGGGTTCACCAAATAACATGTTCAAATGCAACCTCAGCACCACTGCACATCTCTTACATTTTTCATATCTATATGAATAATTTAGATAGTAACTAGGAGGCAGGGGAGACTTGGGGATCTGATAGAGTAGATTAAACATGAAGAAGTTAAGTGGGTCCAGTAATGTAACAAAGAGAGAATGGATAGACTGTAGGTGTAAGCAGTTTCCCTGATCATGAGTAAGCATATAACACCCAAAGAGGAAATTCTAGAAAGTGCAAAATACCAAATAATATTTTGCACAATTAATACTTTACTGAGTAAATGCAAAAGTGCTTTGAAAACTAAGCACTTATGTAAAGCAGGTTTCATCATTATCTTACTAAAAGACAGTATAAAACTTCCATATAATTAACTTTTGAGGTATCTTAGAATGTATATTTGGAAAAAGATACAAGGAATCTCAGAGGTAGTAACTGCTTATCAAGATCAATCTGACATGACTGACCCAAGAATGAATAGTCCCCCAGAATCATCCATCACCCACACAGTTAATGTAGACTGGTACCAAAGAACTCTATCACAAAGAATATGCTGGCTTGGCACATGGCTTGATGGGCAGTGGGCCTGTGTGTGAGACCCTGAGTGGATCCTCAATATAATGAGAAATCAACCTCTTGGGCAGCTTCTTCATTTGGCAAGTATTTGTTTTAATTTTCTTACCTTTATTTTTTGATAGATGTATTTGCATCAGTGAATAAAAATATTTGGATGATGATTTTGAGGAAAACTTAGTTTGCATAAATGTGCCTCGAGTTAAGTTTAAACTTTACAAAATAGTTTCTACTTTCAATCTCTACACCTAGTGTTCTTTCTTATAAACATTGGAAACATAAAGCCACCCCTCAAATATATATTGTAACAGTTTATACTTAAGTTTTCCTCAGCAAAGATCACTGCAGACACCAGAACTCATTGATTAGGACCCTTTCCTTCATCACATTAAAATATAAATTAATGTCATTTAAAAAAATTTTCCCAGTCACATGTAGCCTCAATGTCACTGGATGGGAGTGGCAGGCCTTGAACTTCTCACCCTCCTTCGCTCACCTCTCTAGTATTAGAATTACAGACATACACAGTTATGTTTATGAAGTGGTGGAGATCAAACACAGGGCTTTATGCACACTAGGCAACACTATGTCTCTATCCTTTCAATAAATGTGTCAAAAATATAAATAAATAATATATTGCATTATTGTGTTGTATCAATAAATATACATTGTTGAAAAGTCATTTGGACACAATTTGATTAGTGAATGAACTATATAAATAATAAGAATAAATAATATCTAAAATACATAGACGATTCCATATGATTATAGAATGATGGTTTTGACCATAAAGTATGTTTTAAAATACTTTTAGCATTTTAAAAACAAAAACCTCTTAATAACCTTATCCTCATCTGGGGTATTTAGGTAACAGTGCTATGGAGCAGTTTTGGTAAGAAATGACTTACCTTTGGACAAACAGAGGAATATTACCATAACATTTTCACTCTGAGTAAGGCAGGGCTTAGATTGAATGTGGAAATTCAAGAGGGTTTTGGATTTCTTTTATGAATGAAAGACTCTAATCTTCCCTTTGGAACCCTCATTAATTACAGAGGCAGAAAAAATACACCATATATATATATATATATATATATATATATATATATATATATAGAGATCTACCACTGGCATATTTTTGAAGTATACTTTGTCTCAGAACCCATGTTTCTTTGCAATGAGATTAATATCCTTGTATCTCCTTAAAGGAAACTAATCTAAGGGCAGGCAAGCTGGTTCAATAAGTTAAGGCACTGGCACTTGCCACCAAGTCTGACACCTCAGGTTTGATCTCCCAGACCTACATTGTGAGAGGAAAGAAGCGATTCTACAAATTGTTCTCTGACCTGAACACATGCGTCATGGTATGTGCACACCCACACATATATACATAATAGACAAATAAGCAAAAAAACAAATAAAGATAAATAAAGCAATAAAATTACACACAATACTGTTAAACTAATGTTAATATGAAAATAAAAAGCATGAGAATTTCATGATAAAGAGATCTTTGGCTTTATACAGCTCGGAGGGAGGTCTGTGGTATCACTCAGAATGTCTATCATTGATTACAGCTCTACTTCTTGACAGAAAGACATCAGAAAGCCCTCTGAGACACAGTGCAGTTTTATCTACGTCACTTCTGACAGCAATAAACTTTTTATGTATGTCTAATGCCTTCTTTTTCCTTGTCCACAGTCGCAGAATGCATCACCTAAGCAAAGGAAGCAGAGTGTGTACACACCGCCTGCCATGAAAGGTATTGTTCAGGTACCGTTTTGTGGTGTCATGAGTGATGGATGTCAGGGCTGGCAGGCTGTTTGTCTCTAAGGCTGTTCCATAGATTGTATGCTGGTCTCAACTCTGCCATTCTCAACAGGATGGTGGTTGGGAAGATGTTTCCATCTTGGAAGCATTGCTTTCAGGTGAAGAACTGATGACTGTGTAATCTGAGAATGGAAAAAATCAATTTTCAAAATAGTGTCAAAGATTTTTTTTTTACCTTTCCTTATATCTTTTCTTTCAGAGAATTTTTCCCATAATCTTTAATTATTCTTATTGATTGCCACATGATTATCAGGTCACCCCCCTCCCCTTAACTTAAGCAAAGCAGGAGAGCGTGAGGTAGGCAGGAAAGGAATGCCAAGGTTTGCCTCACTGCCTCTTGTCAGGAGCATGTCTGCTGAACCCAGTCTAGCACCAGTGTGCTGTACTCCTAGCAGTGGCCCAAATCACAACCGAGAATGCTAGCTCAGATGCTGGTGTTTTCCCAGAATTTCTCTTTAAAATGGAACTTCAGAGTAACATCTAAGTGTATTAGCATTTTGACCAATACTAGTTCCAAGAAAGACTTCTTTTCTTTTTCACACAAAAATGTTCCTGACACAGGCTGTGTCTGTTCAGGCCAGTATCTTGCCTTCCGGCTTGGCTCCCTGGCTGTTGGCCTAGGGTTCATCACACAGACCTTCACTTATGATTCAGTGCCCTAGAAGCCAGCAGGGCAGCTTAGAAGTCTAAACTAAGAGTGAGTGTTTCCACTTTTATTCTCCTTTCAGGGAGGTGGGATATAAATGGACCCATAGCTGCTCTCAGTACACTTCCGTCCCATGTAGTTATAAAAGGCTGTGTCTGTACAAGGATGAGTAAATAATGCATTCATCTGCATTGTAGTTTATCTGAAAGTAATTACTGAAATTCCTAGGTATCCCTGCCTAAAGATTAATGCAGCATGTATTTCTTCACTGTAGTTGATTTGTATTCTTCAAGACATATCAGTTTTGGCATGAATAGACAACAATGAAAGATATATGTGTAGTTTCCCAATTCTTCCCTCTGTTTTATTTTGGGTTAGCTTAAACTAAATAAAGTAGTCCTCATGTCCTCAGAGAATATATTATTTTGAAAGGAAAATCTTAAACTCTAAGGCCTAAGAGGCCATGGTGCTCATTATTTTTAGCTCTCAAATATTTTAAGAATGTGGAATTCTAGCATTTAGGGAAGTGTTTCTACTGAAGCATTTTTAATATAACTGTACACTGTGGAGCTATTGTTCTCCAACAACCACCATCTACAATAATGAGGTACAGCCTTAGGGAAGTACAGCCGAGCTTTCAAGAAGGGATCTGGATATTGATACAAGTATCTAATGAATATCTCTGTGAGTTATCAGCTATGATAGAAGAAAAATAGTGATTTCCTCCATCTATTTGTTCCTAAGAGCTGGAAATATGTGTCTGACGACCAACTGAACCATTAACATGTGGTCTATTGTAACACATGTTGTTAGCACAGTGAGGAGATTTGATCATAAGAAGGGTGGCTGAACAAAGGGAGTGTCCTTGAGATGGTAAACACATTAATACAGTTGCACCAAAATTGCAGTAGAACATTGCAATAAATGAGAGGAAATGGTTTGCGGTGGGGGGGGGGGAGTGCAAAGCACCAACAGAGACAGTAAACAGTTTTGAAACAAAAAACAACAAAAACAAACAGGCAATTATGCCTGAAACTTGCTTCATCCCTCAAAACTTAATTCTCTTAGTGCAACAGACGTCTAATTAGATTTTGCTATCATCCATGTACATTGTTGACCCATAGTAAACTGACTCTGAATCTAAAGTTTCTGATCCTCTTTTTGTACTGACTTCCATATTCACTAATCATTTCTCACAGTAAAATTATAAGCCTTTTTGCTCCAGCAAAATGGGAGTCAACACTGTCATCTCAATAGGAGTTTCTGCTTCTAGAGCTGGGCCATTGGATCAGCATATCATAGTTCGTCTCCTGATTTTATCATCCATTTTGTTTTCAATTATCTCAGTGGTGTGCCATCCACAGAGAAAATAAATTTCTCCTTCATATTCTTAATCCAAGTCTGTGACAAATCTATTGAACAGAACAAAATGCACAAAGAGAGTACCCTGGAGCACATGGTTGATGCTCATTCTGACTGGCACAATGTAACAATTATCTACCACACATAATAGAATGCTATTTTTTCAAATCAGAGGTTCTCAGAGGAACTTGACGGGGTGATGTGTTTTAGATATCCTGTGCTCACCACACTTTTTTAAAAAATAAATTTAAGATGTATATTATCCTTTAAAATGACAGAAGTTGACATTTTCATCAAAAACTTACTTTTCCCTCACAGTATAATCTAGTGCTTTATGATCAGATAAGTAGAAAGTTCTAAAGATTATAAAAATGACAACTGTACACTTTCCTGGTGTTTATTTAGGTGGCTGTCAGACTGCAATTTACAGAACAGCCAATTAAATTGTTGGATTGCTTGAATCTTGTTTTCAGAAAGCGAAGTGAATTTGAATTCTGGCAAAGAAAATGGCTGACTCATTTCCTCCTGTGTGTGTGTGTGTGTGTGTGTGTGTGTGTGTGTGTGTGTGTGTGTGTGTGTGTTCTACTGGAATTCAAGTGTGTTTTATTGCAAAGTAAGTGCTATTGATTTAAATGGAAACCTGAACATTAAACATAGGCACAGATAGAAAATGCACTTAGTGTGGCAGAGCCCATTAGTATTATATTTCTGTTCTTAATGTACAGCAAGCCAAATGCTTCATTCGCTTCTGGAAAATGTCTTCTTTCTAATTTCTTGTAAAAGAAAATTTTAGTTGCTTCAGTGTCCTGTGATGATTCTTCTGGGCTGATGTACTAGGTAGATGTTCAGATGTATAGGGCCATTTTAGCCTCAAGCCTTTATTTTTAATTTCACTGAAGATGGCTTCAATCATACATTTTTAATCTTAATTCACCCTCCTCTCATAAATACAGTAATAAATGAAATTAAGGACCAACTCAGTGGTAGAAATCGAGTGACCTAGTAGGAAGGCTAAAACAGGTTTAAGGAGTGGGGCCAAAGACTGTGGCAAGCAGTATGAAATATTACTGAAGCATGATCCATCTTATCTTGAGGTGAAGTTATTTGTCATACTGATTTCAGGGGAGCCAACATGAAAGCACTGGTGAGTTTTGAGTGACAACTCATCAGGATCCACAGCTTAGCATTCCCAGTTGTGAGCTGCATGACCTTCAGAAAATCAGGGTCAATCTTTTGTCTTTTCTTATTGATGAATGGAGATGATCTGGCATGAATTGCTAGGGAAACTGAAGAAAAATGTGAGCTGGAAATACTTAAAACAGGCAAGTCATATGCAGGTTTATTTTAAGTAGTTATTTGGACCCTCAATGGAGAATGAGGTTCAACCATTTCCATCGAGTCTTCAGAGTTCCTCAATGAGGATAGGGGCATGCATAGCCATGGCTGGGAAAAGGATGAAAAATCCTGCTGCAGATCTCACCTTGCCCAATGGGAATGAAGGCAGCTCTAAGGATGCCTGGACCTACATAGCATAGGTTCATCATGTCTTTCAAGAGAGACCATGATTTATTTAGTTCAGCTACAGCCAGACTTAGAAACTTTCCTTTGACATTCCTGATCCCTTTCACCACAATCTAGTTGTAGCTTCATTTCACAGATGCCACTCCCCGTTTTCTCAAGTGAACCAACAAAACAATCAGATATGGTAATATGTAAGTTTCCAGAAAGCATAGGAGTGAAGTGTTGGCTGTGGTGAATTTGGGTGCAGGTACAGAATGTGCAATAAATATGTGTTGTCAGGGGCTCAGTAACCTACAGGCACACAGCTCAAAGGCAGTGGGGGTAAATCAGCAAAGCCTGTGCTGTGATTGTGACTCAGGAAGGCCTCAGAAGGAATCAGTCAGCACCACACTTGTCTGCCTTTACTAAGTACTGTACAGAAACTGCAGGCAATGAGAGAGAGGTCAGGCCATTTGAGCTGCTTACTAGAGCATCTCCACCCCATCTGTCTCTTGAGAACAATGGTTCTCAGCCTTCCTAATGCTTCCACCCTTTAATACAGTTCCTCATGCTGTGGTGACGCCCAACCATAAATTATTTCATTGCTGCTTCCATAATGGTAATTTGCTACTGTTTTGAATCATACTATAAATATCTGATATGTGGCCCCAGAGGAATTGTGACCCTTGGGTTGAGAACCATTGCTTTAGAGGATTTCTGACTTTCTGTAGCTCTTTTTCTGGTACTCTCATCACATCTGTTATTCTCAATCTTGGGCTTTTGTTGTGGTTGTTTTGTTGTGGGTTTTTTGTTTTGTTTTGGGAGGTTGTTGTTGTTGTGTGTGTGGGGTGCTGGTTTAGTTTATTTTCTAAGCAGGGTGGGGTTCTCTTGATCAATATGAGATTTCTAGGTAACAACACGCATTCTAAATATACACAAATCTTGCTTCTTTAAAAAACTATGCTTCTATTTCTAGACCTACTTCCTTCACTGCTCTTTAATTACTTCCTCTGTGTTTTAAGCTTATCTTCCCTCCTATCTTTGAAAATGGAGGGTGGATTCAGGTTGGGGAACTAAGAATGTAGCCTTCTCAGAAGTCAAGTAGATGCCTTTTTGTTTTTTCTTTCTAAGATCAACATTGAAAGAGAATGGAGCAAAGTAAGGGACCACAAACACGGACTTCTTGTTATGTATATATATATATTAGAGTCACAGAAAAACTGGACAATTAATTCATATTGTTTCCATATACTGTATAGCCTTTATCTCTGTTCTCTAAGTTTTACTTTAGATAAGAAATCATGTAGATGTTTCCTTTGACCTTGTCTTGGGTTATTCAACGTTTTAGTTTCTTCCTGACAGCTATTCAGGGATTAGGTCACATTCAGACCACATTATGTACAGTTATAATGTCTCTAGGATCT